GCGGTCTCAGCCTCGGACACCCGGACCTCCCGAAGAGCCAGGGGCACTAAGTGCTATTGAGGCGCAGGAAACAGAGCTAGCTCCTCCCATCAGCAAACGCAGCCCCTTGCTATTAGCACAGACTCGTCAGGCAAGGCCTCTCGCAGCGCTCCCCACGCATCTACCGTGTTACAGCACGTGCCGGGAGAGGCTTGCTGAGCCCCTAATGACCCCACCGTCCCAGGAAGGCTCCTGGAGGATTGCACAGGATTGCAGGTGACAGTCCTGTAGCTGATCACTTGGGCCGACCCTGGCCCTCACTCACGCCAGAGGCCAGGCAGCTGAGCACTGGAGGGAAGGCTAAAGGCCTGGGCAGATCCGATTGCAGGGACAGGGCTGACGGTGTGCCAGGTCCCATGGTGCTGGAGATGGGGATTTAGGTGTTGTCTGGGACACGCTGCCTGGATGGAACCCCACAGAGGGTAACAGTGACGAACGCAGCCCTTTTGCTAACAGCTGGGGGCAATTTGCCGTACCCAGTAATCCAGTCCTCCTAGCCTGGGAACAAGCGCGAGGTGCAGTATGAACAGGCTAGCTCCGTGGGGATACAAAGCCAAAGAAAAGGGTCCGGGTTCCTGTCTGTGTGGTGCTCAGACCCCTGCCTTTGGGGGTATAGCGAGGTGAAGGGGTTTGCTTCTACAAACCCAAAAGCACTCCTTCGTCTAGCTGTGGTGGCCCCCACTCATCACCTGCCTGGTTTGCAGGGTATGAAAACAGCTGAGGGAAGGGTTTGGCCAAACCAGCCCCATGCTGGGCAGGACAAGGCCTGTGCTGGAAGCCAGCACACAGATGCAGATGGCTCCCAAAAGGGGAGATGTGTATGTTGCAGGGTGATACCAGCATAGCTGAAATACGGTGCAAAGGCCACTCCCTGGCCCTCAAAGGTATACAGACAACCAATTTCCAAGCCTGGAGCCTAGAGTACACTAGAGAAACCCAGCCTGCTCACCACCATCCTCCACACACCCAGCAGAACAACTGCCCTTCTGCTGATTGTCCCAAAATGGGCCCTGGCGTGTCAGAGGGACCCATCTCTGTCTCCCCACATTGACCCTACAAAGGCCACACATGTATATCAGCAGGCAGATTCTGCCACAAATTGTGTGTTTAAAAACAAACAGTGGCAAGGCAAGGGTGAACTGAAAGACGCCCTCCTCCATGCAGCCAGCCCCGGCTGGCTCTCCCATGCAGACACGAAGCTGTTCGACACAGTGTTCATCCCAGGATAGCTGTGCTGGGGAGGAGGTGAGTTTGTACAGGTCATTGTATAAAGGTGTCTATGCCACTATAGCCCGTTCCTCTTCCCAAACGCGGCTAGCTGTATTGGTGTAAGCACCTTTATTCTGGTATAACCACATCCACACTAGGACGGTGGAATGACATTAGCTAACCTGGGCTTGTTAAAACACTGTGTAGACAAGTCAAGAGACAGGCAAAGGCCATGGGCAGAAGCACGTTTCCAACTTGTGATTGCTTGACTGATGGCTAAACTGATGCGGCCGACCCCGCATGCCCCTTCCAGCCAGCCCCAGCGCTTACCAGCCAGTGCCTCTCACAGCCACATCTCCCATGGCAGAGCCTGGCTTTTAGGAGGGTGCTGGGTAACCAAGTCACATGGCTTATCATCCCCACGGCAGCCCATTGGGAGTGCCGGGAAGAGATGCCATGGGACGGAGGCTGTGTCCCTGCAGAAGATCATGCTAACATTAGAGGGGATGTCACAGACTGGGGGGGAGGGGAAGGAAGAGTCACAGAATAGAGAGAGTGTCACAAAGCAGGGTGATGGCAGGAGGGAGACAACATGGGTGACCCATGCTGTAAAACAAAGCTTTGATTTTATGGAAATTTGCCACGTCTCCCCCTTCATTATGCCAAGATCTGATGTGCCGGCCCCACAGATGGAGTGAGTGACCATCTCACCAACGCTGCTCCAGTCACACCTATCCCGCAGATGGAGAAAGATCTGGGGGGTTGTTCACTGAAATCTTCTCTGTGAGGGACACTGCTGCTGGCTTTCACCATTTTATTGTGTCTCATGATATTTAGTGTTTTCTTTAAAGCCCCAGCTCCTGGAGTCAGGTGATTCCCTTTCATTGTAAAAGGACATTTCTCACCCTCCTGGTTAGAGAGAGCAGCTTGAAAACGTGACTTGGCTGCAACCTGAAGGCTCACAGACCAGAGAGCAAAGGAAAAGACCCCAACATTTATTATGTTTGACAATCCAGTGAGTCCGGGGGGGTTGAACCCTGAGGTTGGAGGCTTGGAGTTGGTGATACTGGAACTACGACTGAATTTCCCTGACAGAAGTGCTTCGTGACCAAAGGAAGGAAGCCTACGGTACTAACCACGGCAAGGGCCAGCTAGCTGTTCTCATTGTCAGCGGCAAAACCTCGAGCCTCCATATCAGAAAAGAATCCAGCGCTATTAACGCCCCCTGCCCCAAGCCACGTTAATATCAGAGTTATAGAGATTTATCTGGAGCATTCCACTCTTGGTATTGTGCACCAAACGCTCCCGGTCATGGGCTTTTTATACAACATGGTCTGCACTCTCCATAGCACACCGGCACCATTCCAAACACAACGACTTCCCCCTCAGTCTTCTGCTGGACATGACTCCATTTCATTTTCTATCCAGCCAAGTCTTGGGCCTGCTTTGCCTCCTACTCAGTGTTTTGTTTGTTGACTTTACTGGAAGCAGGGTTAAGCTCTCAGTGAGTAAAAAACAATCTATATCCCACTTAAATACAATGAAAGCCAGGTATAGTGACAACCGGCGGAGTGACCGTCTATGCCGAGAAGATACACAATGGAGTGATGCAATCAAGAGAAAAGTACTTTGTCACCGCCTTACCAAGTTCCACTTGCCTGCTGAGCTGGGAAGAGCACTGGTTTTATGGACAAAAATAAATAATTATTTGTTATCGTTATTATCCATGCAAAGGGCGGGCCAGTAGTTTTAGTACCTGGTACGTTTTCAAGCCAGTTTTATAATCCATGTCAGAAATAATGCATTTGCCCATTTAACGGATGTCTGTATTCTGTGGCGAGTTCCAACTGAAAACAGAAAAGGGTTAGGTCTGAAATTACCCTCCCAAGGTTTGGCAAGTTTGATGCATATATTGAATCTGAATATAAATTATTCAGTCAGGTACCCATTGAAAAACAAATCATTTAAGAATGCTGCCATTATTGTGTGAGATCGACCTGATCCCTTGATGCCAATCTGGGGACATATCTGATATATGTTTGATAATGGGCTCCTCTGTCTAGCAAAGAAAGGTACAACATGAGCCTGGAAGCTGAACCTAGACAAATTCAGACTGAAAACTAAGCATGCATTTTTAAGGGTAAGGGTTTTAGCCTTTGGAACAATTTACCATGGTGGATTCTCTATCCTGGACAATTTTCAAATCAAGATGGGATGTTTTTCTAAAAGATCTGCTCTAGGAATTATTTTGGGGCAGTTCTCTGGCCTTTGCTATGCAGAAGGTCAGACTAGATGATCACAGTGGTCCCTCCAGGACTTGGAATCTACGAATCTGTCCAGTAAGATATTCCTCTGCTAACAGGCTTGGAGGAGCTCATGTTTGGCTGTTATCACACTCAGAATACCTAGATCAGCGGTTCTCAAACTGTGGGTCGCGACCCCATTTTAATGGGGTCGCCAGGGCTGGCATTAGACTTGCTGGGGCCCGGGGCCAAAGCCCAAGCCCAAAGCCCAAGCCCTCAGGCTTCAGCCCTGGGTGGCAGGACTCAAGTTACAGGCCTCCACACCTGGGACTGAGCCCTTGGGCTTGATTTTTCTCCCCCTTCCCCCCGGCTTCTAGGGCAGCCAGGCTCAAGCAGGCTCAGGCTTTGGATCTGTGTAGTAATATTTGTTGTCACAAGAGGGGCACGGTGCAATGAAGTTTGAGAACCCCTGACCTAGATTATCCTAACTTCCACTCACAGGTAGAACCCACAAGCTTATTAGACATCTAGAAAATATTCTTTCCAGTGACATGCAAACGGTCTGAATTTCACCTTCTACCAGTGTAGGAGCAGTTTGTGAATCTCCACATTATATGATTAAGTTTAATATTTAAGTATTTAGCAAAAATTATATCTGAACCACACACACACAAATAGCATGTGGGGGCAACGGAGGGGGGAAGAGGGTTGCACACGCATGCTTACAGACATCTATGCCATTAACTCAGTGAGCCAGTCCCAAAATAAACCTAGGTATTTTCCTTTAAGTGGGTGAGCCCAACCCAGGGACGGGAGGCCCCCTCCCAAGCATGATGACAAAGTACCTACTTCAATACCTTGCAGAAAGCCGCAGCCCTCCAGACTGGCAAACCTTCTCTATGATCCCCCTCCTGCAGAGTTGGGGGAAGTACCACTCAGTGCAGGCAGCCCAGAGCTGAGATTTAAACCACTCCAAATATTTATACTCCTATTAGGTGACCAGATAGCAAGTGTGAAAAATCGGGACAGAGGAGGGGTAATAGGCACCTGTACAAGACAAAGCCCCCAAAATCAGGCCTGTCCCTATAAAATCAGGACATCTGGTCACCCTAACTCCTATGTGCTATAAAATATCACTCACCATGTGGGTGGAGGTGTGGAATACATTGATGGGCACTTGTTCAGGAAAACCTAGCAGTTTGCGGGACAGGAGAGTTACTTCATTATCTGAGGTTTCAGAGTAGCAGCCGTGTTAGTCTGTGTTCCCAAAAAGAAAAGGAGGACTTGTGGCACCTTAGAGACTAACCAATTTATTTGAGCATAAGCTTTCGTGAGCATCCGATGAAGTGAGCTGTAGCTCATGAAAGCTCATGCTCAAATAAACTGGTTAGTCTCTAAGGTGCCACAAGTCCTCCTTTTCTTTTTTCATTATCTGACACTCCTATAAACACACCATTCCACTCCTTTCACTGTGTCTGTATACGAACTGTACGTAGACAGAATATGTACCAAATGGTGGCGAGAAAAGAGCTCGGAGAGATTTGACTGGCCAACAGGAATCCCATCTGACACAGATCTCTCTCGGTCACTGCACGACACCATCCCCAAGGTAAGAAGTCACAGAAGTTTGTTCTGTTGACTGGGAGCTACCGATGGCCAGCTCACAACTCCCTCTGTGGGTCTGCAGTAGGCAAGCTGCAAAGATGAACATTTCTTTCTCAACTGGACAGAAAGGTAGGTAGATGCCACAAGAGCCTGCCCTGGAGAAGCGTCTTTCACACCAGCAGAACAGTAGCATCCCCAGGGGGACAGTTATCTTTTTTGCAGTCCGTTTGCCAAGGACAGTTTTTAAAGAGCAGGAGGAAAGCATTACAATGGAGCAGTACCAGCAGATGGGATGGTTTGCTGGGCTTAAAAATGAGGTAGGGCCCATGAGTGTGACCTGGCTGGCCCTTCGAATACAGACTAAACCAAGTGAAGCAGAGTGTTACTAAAAGGCAGGAAAAGTGTCCAAGCACTAGGTGCCAGGTGTTCTTGGTGAGACGCCTCCCCTCTCGGGCGTGCAAGCCAACCACCCTGGCCTGGTGCCTCAGCCCTCCAGCCTTGCCTGCAGCCCTGTGCCACCGCACTGCCCTGGCAACGCTCAACAGCCCAGGGACTGCCCTGGCTCAGCCCTGCCACATGGCACTTTACGGCATGTGCATATTAACTCTCCTCCCGCCCGCCCCCGCTGCTATCCGTGTGCTGCCCTGGGATCGCCCAGCCCTGCGGGGACAGGGGAGCGCCAGCCCGGCAGGCAGCCCCCAGCCGTGCCCAGGGCCCAGTGACGCGGCAGGAGGGCGAACCCCTGGCGGTGCCTTCCGCGGGTGCCGGGCCGGCCTGGAGCCGGGGGCTCTGGCTGGAGCCCAGCGCAGCGCTCCGCGGGGCGACGGGCACAGGGGGCTCCATGGCCCGGCGAGTCCCGGCAGCTGCCCCGGGCCGGGCGGCGGGGGGTGCGGTGAAAGCACGGCGCGGCCTCCGGGGGAGACTCTGGGGCCCGGGCTCTGTCCCCGCAGGAGCGAGGGGCGGTGCCCGGCCGGCGCGGAGCGAACACCTGAGCGACCCCGGCCGACCCGCTGCAGTGCCCGGGCTGGGCGGCCATGGGGCCCGGGCCAGACCGGTCGGGGGAGAGCGAGATCGGGCACTGGGGTCCTCGGACGCGGCCGCTCCCTTCTGGAACCCCCGGCCCCGCTCCCCTCCGGGCCGCCCCGCTAACCCCGGCCCCGCGCCCCTGCCCCGCTCCCCTCCGGGCCGCCCCGCTAACCCCGGCCCCGCTCCCCTCCGGGCCGCCCCGCTAACCCCGGCCCCGCGCCCTGCCCCCCCCTCCGGGCCGCCCCGCTAACCCCGGCCCCGCTCCCCTCCGGGCCGCCCCGCTAACCCCGGCCCCGCGCCCCGGCCCCGCTCCCCTCCGGGCCGCCCCGCTAACCCCGGCCCCGCGCCCCGGCCCCGCTCCCCTCCGGGCCGCCCCGCTAACCCCGGCCCCGCTCCCCTCCGGGCCGCCCCGCTAACCCCGGCCCCGCGCCCCTGCCCCGCTCCCCTCCGGGCCGCCCCGCTAACCCCGGCTCCGCGCCCCTGCCCCGCTCCCCTCCGGGCCGCCCCGCTAACCCCGGCCCCGCTCCCCTCCGGGCCGCCCCGCTAACCCCGGCCCCGCGCCCCTGCCCCGCTCCCCTCCGGGCCGCCCCGCTAACCCCGGCTCCGCGCCCCGGCCCCGCTCCCCTCCGGGCTCCGCTCCCCCCTGCCCCTTTCCTCTCTGGGCCGCCCCTCTCCCGTGCCCGGCTCCTCTACCCCGCTCCCCTCCGGGCCGGCTCGCTCCCCCCTGCCCCGCTCCTCCCCGCGCCCCTCTATCCCGCTCCCCTCCGGGCTCCGCTCCCCCTTGCCCTGCTTCCCCCCGGCCCCTCTACGCCGCTCCCCTCCGGGTCGCCCCGTTTCCCCTTCCCCCTCCGGGCTCCGCTGACCTTCCCCGCTCCCCTCCAAGCTCCACTCCGCTCAGTCAGGCCCGCCCCGCTCCCCCGCTGCCCTCCAGGCCGCTCCGGTCCATGCCGGGCTCCGCTCCCCTGCTCCGCGCCCCTCTACCCGGCTCCTCTTCGGGTTCCCCTACCCCCTCTGCCCCGCTCCCCCTGACCCCTCCTTACCCTCCTGCCCGCTCCCCTTCGGCTCCTCCTACCCCGCTTCCCCTCCGCCCCCCAACCGCCCTGTCCTGCTGCCCCCGGGTCCCACTTCCCCCTTTGCCCCCTTCCCCTCCGGGTCCCCGGCACCGCGCTGTCCCGCTCCCCGCCCCGCGCTCGGACCCCGGCAGGTACCTCCTCCTCGGGCAGGCTGGGCTCGGCCGGGCTGCTCTCCTTGTCGGCGGGGAGGCTGTTCATGGTGCCGTCCCGGGGCGCACGGAGCCGGCTGCGGAGAGGCTGGTCCCTGCCGCTGGCAGCAGCATCAGGAGCTGGCGGCGCTGCACTGAGCCCCCAGCAGCCCGGCCCGGCAGGGAACTGCGGCGCGGGGGGAGGGACGGGGGGCGGGGGAGCCTGGACTGCTGCCACTGGCCCAGGGGTGCCCGGTCCGTGCGCCCTACGCGCTCCGGGCAGCGAGGGCAGCTCCCTCCCGGGCACCCCGGGGGTGGGGGGATCGGGGCGGGAGCAGGGCAGACAGGGGAAGTGGGCGGCAGGAGGGTCAGAGAGGGAGGGGGAGCTGGGCTGTGTGTGGGGCACAGAGGGGAAAACCCCTAAACTCCCTGTCCCCAACACAGGGTCCCAGCCCTAGCTCCCTCCCACGAGCACCCTGTGTTGTTCCGGAGCCATCAGTGACCCTGGCTCAGCCCTAGCTGTGGGTTCACCGTTTTCAGGCTTCCCAGAAAGCCAAGGGCTAGAAACTTGGCTTTTACCATGAACGCTGAGCTTGTCCTTTACCTGAAACTGGGTTCTGGCAGGGAGGGGTTCTCCTGGCTGTGGGGGTCACAGACCAGCCATGCCAACCAGCTGTACTTCTGCTGGGACACTTTGTACCTCCTTTTTGTTAGCACCTGCTTCTCTCGCTCCCCCTCACATGGGACTGGGGGGCGCACAGAGCACTGGGGCTGGAAGTTTTTGTTGTTTTTGCCACTAATTCAGACCCTAATCCTGCTCCGCTTTTGGCATCAACAGCCAAACTGGCATCACCCTCCTGGGGCACTGGCAATGCAAACCCCTGGGGATGGCACCACCCACTTATTTTTTAAGGGGTCTCCCTCTAACAGACGCAGTCTAGTCAAGCACCAGTCGCTGGGCAGGATGCGGGAATCCCTGAGTGAGATTCTGGGGCCTGCAAAATGCAGGTCAGACTTGATGATCACAATGGTTCCTTTTGGCCTTACCCCCCGGGAATCTCTGAAATCAGAGCTGGAAAAGGCAACAGCCCAGGAGCGCTCCCTTCAGTAGCAGGTAGCCAGAGAACTTGTGGGGATTTGTGGATTACATGAAGGAGGAACATTACATTGAGCCAACTTTGTGTTTGCTCTGGGTTTCTCCAAATACACCGAGAGCGGAAGAGGAGTAAGAGAGCATACTCTGGAATCAGCCTCCCTCACCAAGGGCGCTTTCAAACTGGTATCTTTTCGCATTTCATGGTGCCGGCTTGGGCTCGGATAGATCCGCACCGAGCCCCACTGAAGCAGGGCACTCCCCTGACCACTGGCTTCACCTGCACAGGACCCGTTGCAAGATCTAGCTGCAGTCATACTCTTCTCCCGCCCCCCCCCCCGGACCTTGCACATTGCCTACTGCAGGCCCCCCTGCCCCCTCTCGCCCCACTGAGCACAGTCTGAGCCCAGAGAAGAGTGACTATGCTGCGGGCAGGGCAGAGGAGAGACTGGACTGTCCCTCCACACACCAAATCCCCAACACCGAGTGCAAGCGAGAGATCCCCTCAATGGTCAGGGGCCAGAAGAGGCGCCTTATTGAAACGCAGCCTGCCCCTGTGAGGCAGAGAGATCTCACACTGCGCAATCCCCTGTCACTGGGGCGGGAAAGGACAGGAATAACAAAGAGACCCACAGGCTCCGCCCCTACATGCAGCATATGCCCCCTTCCCTGGAGGGTTCCTACCCACTCTGACAGACCCTCCCCTCCCCGAGGGCCCAGATTCCCTGGCACACTGGCACAGCTCCCCAGGCCCCCACAGCCCCATTGTGCTGAACAGAGCATACAGAGGGAAGCACGCTGTCGATGTCCACGGGCCAGAGCCCCTTGCAGGACATGCTTGGAGGAGGGTCCAAAATGAAGCATCTTCCCTGACCTGTGGGAGTTGCTTCATTCCCTTGGAGGTAACCGTTGGGTGTGGCCTGCACTGGGCCCCCAATAACACGCTGCTCCATGTTATCCCTCGGATTGTGTGTACACATTTCTAGGACCACCTCTATTCTTGCTACCCTGAACAAACGGATGAATGAAGAATTTGCATCCCATCCAAAATATTTTCCCAGGCCTAGCTGAATTTCAGGCCAAAGCACGGGGCAGGGTGCTGCTGTACTGAAGTGGGAAGTTTTTGTAACATTGTTATGAATGATACTCTTGGCCATAATTTACTTGACCAGGAGTTGCTACCCAGTGGGTACAGAAGGGTTAAGCAGCTGCAGTGGGGCAGAGCAGGAGACAGGAGGTGTGTGTCTCACCTAACTGTATGGTCAGAGATGGGATGAATGAGTGGATTGTTAGAGCACTGGCTGAAAGGACTCCTATCAATGAAGGGTCTGCAAAGACAATGGGAATACCATGGCCGGGACATTTGCACCTAGCAACCAGCCAAGATGAAGGAGGTTTTCCCCCCACCTCTCTGCAGGGAAGCAGAGCAAAGGCCCTGAGCTGGAGAACAAAGGGGGCAACTGGCTGGGTTAAGAGCTGGCCTTTGGACAGACACAGCAGCTCTCACCTGGGACCGAGAGACAAAGGGACCGAGACGGTTCCTGGAGCAGCATGGCTCAAGAGTGCTGGCTTGGCCAGTCCAGACTATGCTGTACCTTTGCTTCCCTGTGCGAACCTAAGGACAACCCGATGCTGTGGCTAATACACCCAGCTCTGTTTTGAAAAGGCTGCCTGGGGTTATTGCAAATGCTTCGTAGATTCCAAGGCCAGAAGGGATCATTGTGATCATTTAGTCCAGAGATTTTCAACCGTTTTTTCTGGTGACCCAATTGAAGAAAAACTGTTGATGACCACGACCCAGCGGAGCTGGGGATGAGGGGTTTGGGGTGTGGGAGGGGCGAGGGTTGTGGGGTGGAGCCAGCAATGGGAGTGTGGAGCCGGTGCTTGGGGTGGGGGCAGCACGCGGTGTCGGAACAGGTAGGGACTAGCCTGCCTTAGCCGGGCAGCACCCCGACAGGACTTTTAATGGCCCAGTTAATGGTGCTGACCAGAGCCAGTGTGACCCAGTCCCTTCTATTCCGTGACCCAGTTCTGAGTCATGACCCATGGTTTGAAAACCACTGATCTAGTCTGACCTCCTGTCTACATCAGGCCAGAGACCTTCCGTACTTGCTGAGATGCAATGATCCCTGAAGTGGCGAAAGGAGTCTCTCTCAGTTGGACTCACTGAGCAGATCTCATGGTGAGCAACAGGAAAGATGGAGCCCAGAAGCTGTCTAAGAAGTTCTGAGGCCACGTGGCCTAACCTAAAGGAAGCGTTGGACCCCTAGGGGGTCTGGCACAACCAGGGGCTGTTGTCTGTTTAAAAGCTGGAGTGTAGCTCTGTGACAGCTGCATGAGTGAGACACAAGCCCATGAATGATGTCATCAGGGTCTTCCTCTCCAAGGATCTCCCTATCTTAAAGTATGGGTCACTGACAGGCCAGCCCCCAGGAAGCAGTCATAATCTGCTCGCTCTGTGCATGGCCAGGAAGGCTGCTGCTTGATTTTTGGTTTTTGCCATTTTTGATAATAGCTAGTGGTCAGTTCCCAAATTAAGCCACTTGGATGTTTCCATTTTAACTTTAACACAACACAAGCAACCTGCCACTCTATGGACCTACCAGCTGCAAACATGCTTGTCGGGGATTTTGCTCGTCAGAACCAATGCAGTGTCCTGTGGCCCTGCATCATTCTCTGACATTCCACATTTGGGAATTTACATGGGGAAAGCACCTTCAAGAAGCAGTGGGTGAAGCAGATGTGACCTAATAAAAGCAGAGAGGAGTGAGCTTGATAGCACGGTGGCTTGGTTACAGAAGATAACTCACAAGTCACTTGCAAAATAGGTGCCCTGGGCCATGCCTTACCCTGCTTGAAATCACACACCTTTGTAGCTCTCTGCACATCACAAGAGGAAAAAAGCAAGAGCAGTTGACCTTGCAGCTGGTGATGCCTGAGTCGGGGCAGCATCCAGCTCCCCTCCCTGGGCTGGCTCTGCAGTATGGACAGGAGCTCAAAGCAAGAAAAACTCATTTTCTGGACTGAAGTGAGCACGAGGGACCCCTTGGGAGCAGGTCACTGAGTGAGAGCAGCTGTTTTCACCTCGAGATGTTCCAGAGGAACTTTGTGATGCTGCGGTGAAGATCCCAGCATTGTGTGGTACATGCAGGTTGATGAAACAACGCAGGTACTGGCAATGGCAAGATGTAGGATGCTTCATGCTCTTAACGCACAATCTCACTGTGGGGCCATCATTAAGGATACAGGGAAGGCTGCGCTGGGCATCACAAAATGGGGAAGAGATGGCCAGCCCTCTGTGGAGATAGAGGTGCTAAGGGACTATTTAGAAAAGCTGGACGTGCACAAGTCCATGGGGCCGGACGAGTTGCATCCGAGAGTGAGGAAGGAATTGGCGGCTGTGATTGCAGAGCCATTGGCCATTATCTTTGAAAACTCGTGGCGAACCGGGGAAGTCCCGGATGACTGGAAAAAGGCTAATGTAGTGCCAATCTTTAAAAAAGGGAAGAAGGAGGATCCTGGGAACTACAGGCCAGTCAGCCTCACCTCAGTCCCTGGAAAAATCATGGAGCAGGTCCTCAAAGAATCAATCCTGATGCACTTGCATGAGAGGAAAGTGATCAGGAACAGCCAGCATGGATTCACCAAGGGAAGGTCATGCCTGACTAATCTAATCGCCTTTTATGATGAGATTACTGGTTCTGTGGATGAAGGGAAAGCAGTGGATGTATTGTTTCTTGACTTTAGCAAAGCTTTTGACACGGTCTCCCACAGTATTCTTGTCAGCAAGTTAAGGAAGTATGGGCTGGATGAATGCACTATAAGGTGGGTAGAAAGCTGGCTAGATTGTCGGGCTCAACGGGTAGTGATCAATGGCTCCATGTCTAGTTGGCAGCCGGTATCAAGTGGAGTGCCCCAAGGGTCGGTCCTGGGGCCGGTTTTGTTCAATATCTTCATAAATGATCTGGAGGATGGTGTGGATTGCACTCTCAGCAAATTTGCGGATGATACTAAACTGGGAGGAGTGGTAGATACACTGGAGGGGAGGGATAGGATACAGAAGGACCTAGACAAATTGGAGGATTGGGCCAAAAGAAATCTGATGAGGTTCAATAAGGATAAGTGCAGGGTCCTGCACTTAGGATGGAAGAATCCAATGCACCGCTACAGACTAGGGACCGAATGGCTAGGCAGCAGTTCTGCGGAAAAGGACCTAGGGGTGACAGTGGACGAGAAGCTGGATATGAGTCAGCAGTGTGCCCTTGTTGCCAAGAAGGCCAATGGCATTTTGGGATGTATAAGTAGGGGCATAGCCAGCAGATCGAGGGACGTGATCGTTCCCCTCTATTCGA